GTGTTAAACTATCAAAATTTAGCAAGGATAAAGGTAAATTACCCTGAGGGCAATGTTTGCATTAATAATACAAACTATTTTCCCTCTTGAACTTCTACCATCAGGCATTGCATATCCAACCAATTCAATGACAAAACGTTTCCCACTATAATGAGCACCAATGCCTCTCTCAGCTATCACAGATCCCAAAATAAAGATGACCATTGAACTCATATAGTGACAAATAAGAAGGCTTTGACCCAAGACAGTCAACGGAGAATAATTGCATAATTGGGAAAGAATAAAGATTCAGAAGGTGACCTGAACTTCCAGCCGAAACATGCTCCCATAATGAAATGGAGTATGAAGACTTTGATAACCATTGGGCTTTAAAGTATGTAATATAATCTTTCATCTGTTACAGAAAGCAAACCAATATGTCTCGATAAATCAATTATTAATAAAAGCAGCACTAGCCAAGAAATCTGAATATAGAAAAAGCAAGACACATACAGATCGAGGAATAGGAGTCCAAATTCCATGTAATAGCCGAAGAACATGGTAACGCATCTGCCAAAAGGCACATTTATGAGAAGCTATGTTGTACACCATAATATTACGAGTCTCTTTAGCAGAAAAAATGGCAATTATTTCACCATGCAAAATCTACCTGCTGTGCAGTACATAAAGGCCCAACTCCAATGCATGGCTTTGGTTTTATAATGATCCGAAGCTGGTAATCCAAACAAATTAAAGTCTGTAATGAAGCAAATAGGTAAGATTATGCCCAATTAACTGGCACTTGACTGATGAGCCCGGGAATAGGAACCACGTCCTCGAGATTGGCCTGACCGACCTCCTTGAGAACTAGACCGATCACCTTGACCCCCGGATGGAGTTCCATGAAGCTTCCAACATGTCTCACGAGTATGCCGCGGCTTCTTGCAATAATCACAGAATACAGACTCCTTAGCAGCAGACGGAGGAGGCAGGCTGAGGCCATCTCGAGGAGTAGACAGTAATGAGGAACGGTCAGTAGAGACAGGGGACATCATAGCAGACCGACGACTCTCCTCATTTTGTACATAGGCAAATGCCTCCTGCAGTGAAGGAAGAGTGTCCATACTTAGAACTCGACCCCTAACTGGATCATACTCCATATTTAGGCCGGCCAAAAATTTAAAGACCCGTTCCCGTGCGATGAACTTCTTGTACCCGACAGAATCAGTAGGGTAAACAGGCTTATAATCTTCCAGGTGGTCAAGGCTTTTCCAGCTGTTGGTGAGGAAAGTGAAGTACTGAAGAACAGTCTGCTCCCCCTGAAGTGTGCTCTCAATAGAGCGACGCAACTCAAATGCCTGTGAAAAATTTCCTTTGCGGGAATAGGTAACAGCCACAGCCTCTCAAATGTCCTGGGCAGTTTCCATAGAAAAGTAGCCCTCACCAAGTTCTGGAACCATCGAATGGATAAGCCAACTCATAATCAAAGAGTTGACAATCTCCCATTGGTCATAACCTGAGTCAGTGGTACTAGGTGCCTGTATCCTGCCATCAACAGACCCCATTTTCCCTCTGCTTTTCAAAAACAAAGTCAAACTTTGAGACCACGCTAGGTAGTTCTGACCATTAAATAGAGAGGTGGTGATTTTCAAACTAGGGTTGGGGTTCTGAGTCATGGTAGTAGGTAGAATGAGACTCTCACTCTTTGGTGTTTGAGACGAAGGGGACACACTAGTGGAATCTGTCATGGAGACAATACTACCAAACCCGCAACAAACTAGTGGAAATCACAAACCCGGAAGGTGGTAGTGAGATAGTAGGCACAATGACCACTATAAAGACATAACAAAATTAAGAAACGATTTTTTTTATTTTTTTTATTTTTTTATTTTATATATATATATATATATTTTAAGTTGATTTATTTATACATATCTTTATATATAAATATATATATATCCGGCTATAGTTTTATACATGTCTTTATATATAAATATATATATATATATATCAAAAGATAATTACACTAGTATTTTTTATACTTTGATTCTTGTATCATAATGGTTCTTATAATTTCAATTGAATTGCTTTGAAGACGAGTGACGAAGAAGACGAGCGACGAAATGGCTGGAGGAGATCGCCGAACTGGCTGGAGATTGATCGGCTGAGTGACGATCGACAGAGGAAGGCGAGGAGGTCGACGAGGTAGACGGCTGAGGAAGACGAGCTGAGGAAGACGACTGAGTGATGATCCACCCAGGTAAGCTTCGAACCCTAGAGTTTTGTTGGTGAAAAAGGTCTACCAACGGGGGTGAGCCGAAACCGTATAGGTTCTGCTCTGATACCATGAAGCTTGAATAACCAGCTTCGGGTATGATAAGATATCATCCCTTATTTATAAATGAAGATTAGGGTTTACAAGGAAGACAATTACAAGATGATCCCTGAGGGCATAAAAATGATTACAGACCCTAGTGCCTTTCGGCTAATATAAAATGCTAAGTGACTTTCGGTGATTATAATATGCCAACAACCTTTAACGATGATTTTTGTGAGTCTTGATGATGAGATATCATCCCTTATTTATAAATGAAGATTAGGGTTTACAAGGAAGACAATTACAAGATGATCCCTGAGGGCATAAAAATGATTACAGACCCTAGTGCCTTTCGGCTAATATAAAATGCTAAGTGACTTTCGGTGATTATAATATGCCAACATGATGTGTAGAATGTGAGAGGAGAGATGAGAGAGAAAGTGATTGATTGATAATAATAATAATAAAAAAAAGAAGAAGAGAAGAGATGAGTTTCGAATGTAATTTTGAGTTGTATTTTAAAATTATGCTTGGTGAACATGTTGTATCCAAATCCTGATTTAAAAACAGAGTAGAGTTTTGAAAAGTAAACAAAACGCTGCCTTGGTTTTTATGTAAGTTTGAAGTCTGATTTGAAGAAGTGGAATTTAGAGGTTTTTGGCCGCTTAGAGGTTCAGAAGACAAATATCTTGTCAGTTTTGTAGGGTTTGGATGCGCAAGAATTGGCTGGAGATCTCACTGAGGAGAATTTGGCAGTTAGGGATGAGGTTCGGAGAGATTATGTGCAGGTAGCTCAGATGGAGGAGATTAGTTTCTGGTAGAAATCTAGATGTTTGTGGTTGAAAGATAGGGACCGTAATACAAAGTTTTTTCATCGTATAGCTAATGCTCATCGGCGAGTGAACCAGATAGGGAGAATGCGGGTGAATGGGGCGATGCTTTCATCAGAAGAGGAGGTCAGGAATGGTATAGTGGCATTCTATCAGCATCTTTTCTGTGATGAGGGCCAGATTTGGAGACCGGGGTTGGATGATGTAACTTTTGATTCTATTCTGAGGAGGATGGGATATTGTTAGAGAGCCCTTTCACTGAGGAGGAAATCTTGGGTGCATTGAGGAGTATGCCTGGAGACAAGGCACCGGGCCCGGATGGTTTCTCAATTGCATTCTTTCAGCAGTGCTAGGAGGTGGTCAAAGGGGAGGTGTTGGATGTGTTTGCACAGTTTTATCAATCTGGGCAATTTGAGAGGAGTCTGGATGCCACTTTCATAGTTTTGATTCCCAAGAAGGGGGGGGAGGATATTCGTGACTTTCGGCCTATAAGTCTTTTGGGCAGTGTTTATAAACTATTGGCCAAGGTGTTGGCTAACAGGCTTCGAGCAGTGTTGGAGGGGGTCGTCTCAGAATCTCAAAATGCTTTTGTGGGTGGGCGACAGATTTTGGATGCTATTTTGGAGACAAATGAGTGCGTGGACTCGCGGTTTCGGCAAGGGAAAGGGGGGATTATTTGTAAACTGGATATTGAGAAGGCTTGTGACAATGTAAATTGGCAGTTTTTTATGTACATGTTGGAGAGGTTGGGTTTTGGGGAACGATGGCGGAGGTGGATACATTCTTGTATTTCCATTGTTCGGATGGCTGTCCTCGTTAATGGGACACCTGCGGGTTTCTTCCCCACTTGGAGAGGTTTACAGCAAGGAGACCCTTTGTCCCCATTACTGTTTATTTTGGTTATGGAAGCATTGAGTCTACCGTTGTCTAAGGCGGTCCAAGGGGGCTTATTATCGGGCTTTGTAGTGGGAGAGGTGTCTGCTTCTTTGTTGGTTTCTCACCTATTCTATGCAGATGATGCATTGATTTTTTGCGATGCGGATGCTACTCAGATTAGCAACTTGCATTGTGTTCTGTTATGTTTCGAGGTGGTGTCAAGGTTACAGGTTAATTTGTCAAAATCGGAATTAATCCCTGTGGGTGTGGTGGCTCAACTACCAGTGTTGGCAGCCGTTTTGAGTTGTAAAGTGGCACGGTTGCCAGTTTCTTATTTGAGACTTCCTTTGGGGACTTCTTTTAAGGAGACTAAAGTGTGGGATGGGGTGGTGGACAAAGTTCAATGGCGGTTAGTAGGGTGGAAGCGCCAATACTTGTCAAAAAGAGGGCAGATTACTTTGATCAAGAGCATGTGCTTTCAAGTATTCCGACGTACTTTATGTCTGTGCATGTGATCCTTGTGGAGGTGACTAAGAGATTGGAAAAATTGCAACAAGATTTTTGTGGAATGGGGGTGGGGAGGGTTGGGTTTTCATTATCATTTGGTGGCTTGGGAGAGGGTTTGTAATTTGAAGGAGGGGGGGTTTGGGTGTGTGGAAATTGGTAGCTTTTAATCGGGCTTTATTAGGCAAGTGATTGTGGCGCTTTGTGGGGGAATGGGAGAGGCTATAGAAAAGGGTGGTGGTGGGTAAGTATAGGGAGGCCCAGGGGGGTTGGTGCTCGAAGAGGGTGGTTCAATCTCATGGTCGGGGTTTGTGAAAGGAGATTTGGTTGGGGAGGGAGGTGTTTTGGGAAAGGGTTCGGTTCCAAGTGAGGGTTGAGGATCGAGTTCGCTTTTGGCAAGATCGGTGGTGTGATGGTTTGTCTTTGGCGGTCATGTTCTCGCTCATTTATGCTCTTGCTGTTGATGTGGAGTTAGTTGTTTCGATTAGGGTGAAGCAAGGAGATTCAGTTGTTTGGAATGCTCGTTTACATCGTAATGTTCAGTATTGGGAGCTCGACTACTTGGTGGCTTTTCTAGGCTTCTTGTATGGGTTGCAAAATGAGGGTGATGGGAGGGATTCTTTGGTTTGGGATATCCGGAGGTCCAAAAGTGTTTTTCATGTCCTCATTTTATGGGGTGCTTATAAGTGGTTTTGGTGGTGTGTTTCCTTCGAAATTTATATGGGCTACGGGTCTCCTTCCAAGGTTGCTTTCTTTGTTTGAACAGCTGCTTTGGGTCGTATTCTTACTATTGATAATTTAATTCGGCGACGACATGTGTTGGTGAATTGGTGTTTTATGTGATGTAGGAATGCGCAAACGGTGGTCATTTGCTTCTTCATTGCGTGGTTGCGTCTAGATTTTGAAATTATATTGTTGCTTTGTTTGCTTAGAGTGGGTGCAACCGGGGTCTATTTTGGGGGTGTTACAGAGTTGGGGTGGGGCTAGAGTGGAAAAGAGACACCAGAAGGCTTGGGTGCTTGCTTCCCATTGGTTACAAAGTAATAGGCAAGTGTTTCAGGATGTGTGCCACTCTATCTGTTGGTTAGAGCGTAGGTTGTTGTTGGTGTTGCATAGTTGGGTTACGGGTATAGTTGAGCCAAATGTTTTGGTCTTCATAGATTTTGAAGAGGATAATTAGTTAGTCTTGTTTCAGTCCCTATCTGGGCTGCATCTTTGTATTCTTTGCATCGTCTTGATGCTTTCTAATAAAATCTGATTACTTATCCAAAAAAAAAAAGACAATGAGAGCAGGAAAGCAAAAACGTCGAAGTTGAATTCCGATGTCAAAGTTGAATTCAGACTACAACATCTGCAATAAACTAAAAATAAGCTGGGGCATTTCTTAAAGAAAATAAAATTATACATGAATAAGTTAAAGGGAAAATTTCACTTTACCCCCTTGTAGTATAGGCCAAGAATGCATAATAATCCACTATCACTCAATAATAATCACTTAACCTTCTTGTGGTTTATGGACAAATACACCGTTACAATTCCCATCTGAAATAACTAAAGGTGCAACTCACACACCTTTTCAAAGAGTGAGTCACTTAAAAAATTTACAGTGAAGCATTTCTATAGAAGAGCTAATTTGTTGGGATAGTTCTTTCCGCTGGCCCACTTATGAAACAATTTTTGAGCATGGAAAATCACATGCTTCAAAGTCTAGACAAACACACTAGTATTGGCAAGCAACCCCATATTCACATCAGATAGTTTTAGTTCACTAAATCAGCAATTTCTATTAGATTTGAAATCACATACGCTACACGAAATTAGAAAAACAACTGCCAAAATTTGAAGAAAACAAACCCAACTTGATCAAATTCATTACGATGAATCTCTTTTTCTTACTCACTTTACAGTCTTTTCATATGAATTTAATGGTTGGCAAATTTCAGAGCCATGAAAAAAATTGAGAGGGTAGTGAGTGCATGGAAGTGGGGTTAGTTCAGAAGGGAGGGAGAAGATGAGGATATTTAGGTCAATTTACAAGTGCCATTAACAGAAGTAAGCAGTGCACTTTAGTCTACAAACCACAAGGGGTTACGTGGTTATTTCCAAATAAGGGGGTCACTGGGGTTATTGCACATGACCCATACCATGGGGACGTAGAGTGAAATTTGCCCCAACTTAAATGCATGGTCTGAATAAAATTCTAGAAGACCAGCTGTAAAAAGAAAACAAGCTCAAATTGAAGTCCGTATCACATACTTGAGGTCAATGCCCATAAATTGAGGATTCAGCTGTATCCCAAACCACCTATTGGATGACATAATGTAGCAGCAATATCAAGAAACTGAAGATAAACGCAAAATGTTGATTACACAAAATGGAAGATACATTTTATTTCACAAGCATAGATTTCAACAGAAAGGTGCCAAGGGAACGTAACACTTGTAAAACAAGACAACTACTAAAAAACCTGTAAGCCTCTATAAAGGATCTACATTCTCTACAAACAAGAAGATTGAAAATACAATCAAATGATATTTGTAGCGATAAAGAAAGATCTTAAAAAGATGTTCAAGCCAGAAATTACAGTTAATTTATTACTGTATCTTTTCTTTTATAGGAGTTCATCTATATTTGTGGTTGATAAAGCATGCAACGAAAAGTGTGCAGGAAACATCACATATGTGATATGGGAATTGTCTACATGTTTTATCATCATCAAACCAACAAGTTATTCATGTTGCAGCACTCAGCGATCCTACAAAAACATATGGACTGTTATGATAAGGTTGAGCACATAAAACATTTATGTGTAGCTAGTCACCATGACACACTATTAACATTTCAGAAATACTTCCACTTCAAAATAGCATGCAACAACAAAATAGCTCCTGCATCCTATTGTAGAAGAGAATTTGATTCTAATTTGAAAAATAAACTTCTGCTTCAACTTCTAGAAACCATCTAATAACTTTACCCAATACATTTTGTACTATGAACCAAAGAAAATCCTAATAAGAATCAAACTCAAATGAATTTAACTAGAATTCCTGACAGGGTAAGACCGGTTATATGATACAACAATAAATTCATAACCAATTCAAACAGAACTCGTTTCTGTTATTAAGTACCTACAACTTAAGCCAGAATGTAATTAAACAGATCTCGTTTGAGATATATAAGCTTCCAAGAAGCTTAAGGTTGGATTGTTGGAGAAAATGAAACCATGGAATTACAAGATCATGTAATGATTTTGTGGATATTATTGCTAGAGACAGGAGTAGGACTAGGAAAACAGCATCTGTTGGATTAGGTGAACATGCTGCAAGTAAAATTCTTTCTGAATTCCCTTCACTCCAATGGGAGCTTCTATTTATAAAACACCCTTTTTCTCAGTTCACAAAAGTTTGTCGGTTCCGATATCAACTACTGAACAAAAGCCAATTGTTCGAATGTCAACAACTGAACAAAATTCAGATATCAACTACCAAACTGGATTTTCGTTTGGCAATTAATTTCCTAATAGTGAATTTTGTTCAATAGTTGATATCCAAATGAAAAAAAACTAAGAATAAGTTTTGTGGTGTGTAAATATAAGCTCCCCGCTCCAATAGAGATCCATAGTCAACTGCGTATGCACACAGCCACAAATCCTTCTCCTAGAAGCCAAGACAAATCTCATGTGGAAAAAAAAAAAACAAACAAACAAACAAACAACAACAACAACAACAACAACTAAGACAGCAACGTCCTTATACAAAATACAAGCACAATCCTATTTTCCTATTCAATTAAAACTACTCATCCTAGAAAAATCATTGGAAGTACCAGTCATGAATTAGGTTTCCTGTGACATGAGGCTTCAGGGATGAACCCTGATCATGTGATTTGCGACCAGCCACATAAAGTACCAATGTCACCTGGAATTTAGAAATAAAAGATAAATTAGAAAAGTGAAATCATATTTAGAATAAAATGGAAAAGTAAACGCCCTGTTTAGTTTCAGTTTTGAGAATTCACTTTTCAGAAAATTCTACTTTTTCATTTGCCGTATTTTATTTTATTTTTCACTAAATTTTTTTCAATATTTTAAGCAATTTTTTTAATTTTTAGACACACTTAACTTAAATACACTTAAAAAGTACAATATTTGTGAAAAAAATCTTTAAAAAATTCACTAAATACTAAAAATGTATATTAAAAAATGCAAAAATTCAGTACATTTTTCATATTTTTGTGTATTTATTAATTTTTTAAAATATTTTTTCACAAATATTTTACTATTTAAATACATCTAAGTAAGGTGCATCTAAAAAAGTTATTAAAAAAAATGCTTAAAATTTTAAAAATATTCACTAAAAACAAAAAAATACGAAAAACAAAAAACAAAAAATATGAAAAACAAAAAACTCAATTTCCGGAAAACTGAAACCAAACACACTGAAAAGTATCCTTCTGTTGATAGTGCATTTGTGTGAATCAGAGGTGCAATCAATTACAGTTGTTGCCACATCCAAACAATAGTTATCTCATAGACCTTAAAAAAATGTAATGAGGAAACAATGTTGTCATAAGAACCAAACACCCTCCCCCCCCCTCACCCCAATATTCAAATTTATCCCATAACATATTGTTTTAAGAGATTTAGCCCAATTGGCCTTCCAATTAAATTTCCAATGAAATAAGAGATAAAATCGTCTATAATCTAGATCTCAATCTTCTTAAACTTTAACTTCCATTATAAATGTGTATAAATTGTTTCCTTCCCATTTTGAAGGACAAACTACTCATATTTTTGTCATAAATTTGTCTTAAAATAACTTCCCCATTGATCACCATACCTCCTTTCTCACGGTCATGGCTATATTGAGAAAAACATGTACATTAGCAATTTCATCTTTGCTCACGATGCTTTGTTCCTTGTAGATAGTATTATTATCACCATTTTTTTTTTAAACATTGAAGTTCTACAATATCATCGCATTTTGTATGTAGCTATCAAATAATTCTAGTCTAGTTTGCCCAATACTTGCAAATACTTCAGCCCCTTTATTAAAATTGCATGGTTCCACTTAGTTGACATTTACTATTAGGCCAACAAGCCATTGTTACATTTGGAATAAAGGCTTCTTGCTTAACAATTCGTTAAACACTCAAAAAACTTTAATCTCTTTTTTATATTTTACTGTAGTTACTTCTGTGCAATTTTGGTTATCATAAATGTGACTTGTTTGATTTATTTTTCAAATTTAAAAAAATAATAATAATTGAAATTAAATTGTCTTAAAAAAGAAAAATAAAAAAATACACAACCTTAAAAAAAATAAATTAAATAAAAATAATCTCCTCTGCTTTCAAAATTGAAGAAAAACCTCAAACATGCTAACACTTAATAAGAGGGACGTTGAAAACAGTGGCACATCCTGATGATGCTAGTTTCTTACAGAGATTAACCATAATATATAATTGAAGCCTTTCAAATAGGCACACACATCAGGTTATTAGTCCACCAATTGAAGTTGCAATGCTTACAAGAATGCTATAATTTTAATATGGGACAGAATTATTCCAAGTAGGGTATAATAGAATTGTGACTCACAAGAAAACTAAGTATAAAAGCCGCTGACAATAGCTCAAGTCCTCTGTCTGCTATTGCCTGCAAATATAATTAATGTTCATGTGTCTTTAGAAAAGAGACCAACTAAAATGAAGTTGTAAGGAAACAAGTCAAGGACCATCTTAATACAATAAATTCATATTCTGGCATGGAAGTTTGTATGAGTAAATCTGAATACGACCAATCAATAAATTTCCATGTAAAACAAATTGAGAAGGAGAGGGAAAAACTCCAAAACATTCACAACAGAAATAAATAAACTATTGCCATTGAAAATTAGTTTTGATACATGACTTATTAAAAAATATATGTGGAAATATAAATAATAATAAAAAATTAAAACCTGATTCTGTATTTATGCTAAAAGATTTCAAATTGATATAGCACATGTAGAATTTCAACTGAGTCTTTGATCTGGATGTATGGTCAGTCCACCACATTATTCCAATCTTACTCATTTACATTTAGTGTTATGCTGTTAAAATCTAAAAGCATAGGTTACTAATCTTAATATATGTTAAAAGGACAAAAATTCATCCTTATGATGAAGTACTATTTGTGAAGACAAATAGTTCAGTACCCTATGGGCTTGTTTGATTGGGCAAATTATAACATAGGTTGAGATTATTAATCCATAGGACTTGCATTTTATTGTTTGGTTACAAATTTTATTATTCAGATTAAATTCCAAATGGCCATTATATCCAACAGAATTGACAAATTTTTTAATCCTATGACTAAGAACGCAAAACATATCTAGTGCAAAACAAACGTGGACAAGTGAGAATTATGTATCTCACTAATACAGCTGGATAACCAATTCTACACTAATCTCATGGATGGTTGATCCCTCACTATTAATCCTGCGAATCAAACAGGCACTAAATAAAACTAAAAACTGAAAATATATATATATATATATGGATTAAATAAACAGATAGAGAACCTATTTTAGCAAATACATACAGTGGGAGATGTGAAATCCGTCCAAACCCCGATTCCAAGTAAGGCAACCAGCAAAATAAGTGAGATCAAACCTGAAATTCAAATAACCATAAATAATAATAAATAAAGAGAAAAATGTACACAATTCAGAACAACTAACACTTCAGCAGATCACATATATGACAATATACACAGAAAGTGTGAAACATTACCGTTGCAGCGGTATTGGAGACGAGTGCCGTCAGATAAGATTACGCCTGGAACAAGCTTTCCGGGTATAATGGATCCAGCAATTGCCAAATAAGCAAAGAATCCAAGTAGCATAGTAACCTAATTCACCAAAAGGAATTTGATAGAGATAACATTGCAGATACATACATGTGTATACATATATGTGAATCCATAGACAGAGAGAGAGAGAGAGAGAAGAGTACTCACAGAGGTCGATGAAGGAATTAGGGCGAGGAGAGTAGAGTTCAGATCCATTCTGTGTGTTCTCTATCTCTCTCTCTCAGCTTCTTCGTGTATTTGATGCAGATGTGAAAGTCACTACTCTCCTCCTCTTGACTCCAGAAGTGTAGTCTACTTTTTTGCCAATTGTTTCTCGGTCTGGCTGCTCAACCCCGCTCCAATTTTTTATTTTTATGATAGCGTGATGGTGTGTTTAGTTGGGGATTTAATGAAGAAAAATGCACGGACACTAGAAATGGAAAATTAGAAGGATCACTAATAATATAATATTGGGTCTCGTCTATTTTCTATGTCTTGTTTCTTTTTTTTTCTTTTTTTTTTTTTATCATTCCTAATGCGTTAGTGTACAGGAAAGAAATAAACTTTCTCGTATAATCCTGTTGATCAAATCTGCGCTCCTCCGTACGTCGTCGCTTTACCACCTGAAAACACAAACGTGAGCTAGCCGGCGGGTGTGTGCCAGAAACCTCTCCGATGCCTAAGTCAGTAAGCTTGACAAATAGACAAAAGCTCTGTGTATTCAGAAAATAAAGTTGTGTTACCTCTCCAAAGGTGATGTTGTAAGCTTTTATAGGTTTCATGTGGCACAATCCTAGTAGGACTTCTACTTCTCCATGCTGAGTCCTCCTAGGATTCATACTCCTGAAAGATAATGCTTATCCTTCAACACCCCCCTCACTGCTTAAACCAAGTGAGATGGTTTTATCATGGCCGAACGCCAATATGACCGAAGTAAATATGTCCATGCATAGCCGAAGAGTAAGCCGAACTAACTCTTCCTTTTAATGCTCTTACGTCGGCTCCTCATGCACAACCCATGGCGTGGTCAGACCGAACTAACATGTCGAGACCGGTGTAACTCCAAGACCAGTCTAATTCCAAAGTACCGTTAGACCGATCTAACTTCGATCTTACCGGAGTAACTTTACATCTCTTTCGGGCCGGAGTAACTTTACATCTCTCTCGGGCCGGAGTAACTTTACGGCCTTTTTACTCAGCTCTTAATACTGTGGCCCATAACAACTCAGCCCAGCCCACTAGCCAGTTCGGCCCAATTTTCATATAAATTACCCTCTCAATTAGTACTATTAGTGATGTATTTTTTAGTGGTTTAAATCATTGTTGTTTAATGAGAGATTTAGAAAGGGAAAGGAAAAATGTGTGTGAAATTAAGTAAAATGTAAATATATTTTATTTATATTTTACTTAATTTTTTTTTTCTTTCTAAATCTCTCCTCAAATTTCTTAACCAAACACAGCGTTATGGTTCAAAATTTTCTACGTATTTCACATTTTATGTGAAATTTTTGATCATTTATTTAATTGAAAATTTATGACTTAATTTTCTATTTTTTTAAGAATACATAATTCTTATCAATTGGTATATTAAAAGATAAAGTAGTATAATTTAAGAAGTGTTTTATTTTTTTAATTTGTATGATAAATAAATTATAGCATTAAAATGACAGCTACAAACATAGTACACAACCGAATTTCAATTGCATCCCTCCTTTGCCGTGGAAATGAATTTTACGAGGCAGTTAGAGCAATTATTGTGATTTCTTTTTTCTTCAAATTATATAAGTATCTCGATTAATTTCTTTTCTTATTTTGTTAAAGGCAAGTTATTCTTATCGAGACTAAGAATTTATAATAATTTTTTTTTTTTTTGTGACTTGATAGCTTTAAAAATTGAACTCTAAATAATTGTGTAAGGGCAGACCTACCAATCATTCAAGACAATCCTCAAACATTTTTTTCTATTTTTATTTATCAAAAAGCACCTAAATACATTATAAATATGATACTAATAAGTTCACTATCATCCATCATCCCTACATTAGCGTTGTTTGTTATAACTTAAAATAGGTTATTATAATTATTTAATGTAATTTTTACTTATAGTTTATTAAATAAAAATAGGGTAAACTATACTGACATTTTTTGATATTTGGATTTAATACATCTTCGAAATTATATTCTCACCCCTGTGATTAATAGTCTCATTTCATAAAATTCCCTATTTATATAAAAAACAATGACTCTTAGTAGAAAAATAGAAAAAATTATATTGAAAAAAAAAAGTAAAGCAAATGAAAGGGAAAAAAAAAATTTATAGAAAAAGTAAAGCAAAATAAGAAAATAAAGTGTAATAATTCAATATATTTTTTATACCAACGTTAATTTCGTCTAAATAATTACAATGGCAAAGGGGTTAGTGTAATTTTTAAACCGTCAATGGGTGATATGTATTAAACTTAAATCTCAAGAGGTGTAAGTGTGAATTACCCATAAAAATATTTTAAATAAGTAAAAAAAATGAAAATTTATTGAAAAATCTCAATTTTGGATAATTTTAGTCCAACAAGTCCTTGTTTTAAAATAATTCACATGGAGTCCTTTTTTTTTGGTATTGTGTTCTACATGATCCCATTCAGTTTTGTGGAATGAATTTTTTGACTTTTATACCTATTGTTTTTTATGAATGAAAGCATATGTGGGGAGGTTTGTTTTGAATCCCATTGCTTACGTTGGTTTGGTGTGGACATTATGGAAAGATCATAAATAGGCAGATGTTTAAGGATCCCAAGATTCGTCAATATTTGAATATTGCGGGAGAGAACCAGGGGGGAAAGGTGTTAAAAGATTGTATTAGTATTGTATTGAGCCATTTATTTGTGCTGCGTAGTTTGTGGTGCAGCATTTTTTAAATTCGTTGATAGTAATGTATTGATTATTTATTCGTGTTGTTTTTGTTTGTAGTTTGTGTTAGGGAAAATCCGTGATTCCCCACAAGTAAATCAATCAATGGGAATAAAAATTAATGCGGAAAAATTAAATCAAAGGTAACACAAGAATTTTTACGTGGTTCCCTCAATGTGAGGTACGTCCACGGGATCGAAATCCGATTCCACTATCAACCAAATAAGATCCAAACGATTACAAACGAGACACTAATGGTCTCACAAAATCACCCTTAGGTGAATTCCAAATAATCACAAATAAACAAAGAGAAAAGACCTCGCCAAATAGATGAACCAAAATCTTCTGAACCAGAGTTGAAGAAGACCCAAAATAACAAACCCAAAACAAAACCGAAAGCCGAACCAAACCAATACACACGCTGCCGAAATTAACCGAGAGCGTACCAACACAAATCAGCCAGCCGCACAGTGCTTCGTAAAAGGTGAAAATTTTGTAGTGGCTGTCCTCCTTTTTTGTAAAGCACAAAACAATATATATATATATATATATATTATTAAATCTTTTTGTAATCAAATCTTAATTGTATTCAAATTGAATTGGGTCTCCACAAATATAATATATAATAATATATTATACCTAAACCAAGCCTAATTAAA